ATTGCTGTTTTTTATGTTGCCTCGAGCTCGGCACAGTCGACTCGCCTTCATTGGGCAAACATTGACGGCAAATAAAGTGGCTTCTTCTTCGTTTCTTTATGACCCTCCATGACTTGAGCGACCTATTGTGATCACAATCACTCTAATGAACCTCAATGCCTTCTTTCGGGAAGACCTCTTCTCATTTTAGTGAGACCACAATGGAGTCAGCTGCCGAATGCGGCGGAGAATTGTAACTTCTTCATATTTCTTCATGTTTCTTCGTGTAACTTCCAACAACATTTGTTCCTACAAATGTCTTTAAAGATATACAAGGGATTTCTGGCAATCGACTGAAACATAACAATTTTTTAATAATAATAATAATAATAATAATAATAATAATAATAATAATAATAATAATAATAATGCGTTCTGGTGGCGGGTGGTGGGTAGAAGGCATTCAGGCGGCGGGTGGTGGGTAGAAGGCGTTTGTCCGCGAAATGTTGGCCTACACGAAGAAAATTTCTATGGACGAATATCATTTATATTAAAATAACATTAATTTATAAAAAAATACAATTTTTGGTAAAACTATAAATTTCGGGGGATATTGCATAAATTTCTTCGAGAATAACATGGAACTCAAGTGATTTTCAAAATGTTCGCATGTCGAAAGTTTATTCGGTAACATAACGACCAGCAACAAGCTTGTCGCTGAGGAAAATAAAATTCAATGCTATAAAATACTCAAAAAAATTAATTCTTCTACGAATCGCGAGCAAAAAAACTTCTATTACGGGCCTAGAAGTGACACACAATTACAACTACAAAGATTATTGCAATTTATTTACTTAGGAAACTGCTTTCTAAAATAACATGAACAATTCACACAAACTTCCCCCCACACGCACGCCTCCAGCCACACGCACGTCTCCAGCCACACGCATGCCTCCAGCCACACGCACGTCTCCAGCCACACGCACGTCTCCAGCCACACGCACGTCTCCAGCCACACGCACGTCTCCAGCCACACGCACGTCTCCAGCCACGCGCATGCAGCTTATCAGCATCACCCAGTAATGATGCAGGTTATTCATGCAGCAGGTTGGCAGGTTGTACGGTTAAATTAACATGAAAATAAACCTCAGAATTAATTAATTAATTACGTTTATTCAATTAATTTTTTAACATAAGCAAATATTTTAGTATAGGCGGGCACTCACGGTACAGTGAACTCTGCTTTAATTAAGGACTCAATTACTGTAGGAACTCTGCTCGTTCGTAATGAAATTATTGGAAAAAATTGAGATTAATGGAGAAAATGGAAATTAAGGGAGAAAAATAAAATTAATGGAAAAATTGAAATTGATGGTTGTGACGAACTAATCTTGAATCCCCGAATAGCCAAGTAAGGCACCACTGCACGCCACACTGGCCACAACACGCTGCATGTGCACCACTGCACGCCACACTGGCCACAACACGCTGCATGTGCACCACTGCACGCCACACTGGCCACAACACGCTGCATGTGCACCACTGCACGCCACACTGGCCACAACACGCTGCATGTGCACCACTGCACGCCACACTGGCCACAACACGCTGCATGTGCACCACTGCACGCCACACTGGCCACAACACGCTGCATGTGCACCACTGCACGCCACACTGGCCACAACACGCTGCATGTGCACCACTGCACGCCACACTGGCCACAACACGCTGCATGTGCACCACTGCACGCCACACTGGCCACAACACGCTGCATGTGCACCACTGCACGCCACACTGGCCACAACACGCTGCATGTGCACCACTGCACGCCACACTGGCCACAACACGCTGCATGTGCACCACTGCACGCCACACTGGCCACAACACGCTGCATGTGCACCACTGCACGCCACACTGGCCACAACACGCTGCATGTGCACCACTGCACGCCACACTGGCCACAACACGCTGCATGTGCACCACTGCACGCCACACTGGCCACAACACGCTGCATGTGCACCACTGCACGCCACACTGGCCACAACACGCTGCATATNGGGGGGGGGGCGGTGAGGGGGGCGGTGGTTCCTTCACAGTCCCTAGGATGCGATGAGAAGATCCTGCCCCGCTGATCCCACAGCTCCTCAGAAAATGGCGGGCAACAAATTTTGCATGTCGGGGGTCGTAATGCTATTCCTACGTGGACGGTGTAGTTGATATAATTGCTACCAGTGTGGAAAAGTTCATCCACAGGTTCTTAATGTTATTCCTACGTAATAGCGAAGTAGTTCTTCAAGTCGCTGCCAACACCGACAAATTCACCAAACTGCCCGCAATGCTATTCCTACCTGAAATTGTTCGGTTAATATAGTTGTATATGTTTAAGTTTCTCATGCTATGAATATCCGCTGTGAGTTTTGGTAATAAAGTTATACAATTTCTGTTATTAAAACAGTACATAATTAATTTCTTGTTTATATATAGTGCATTTACTTGCACATAAAATTAGTTAATGACGATATACCTATTGAAGAAATCCACCTTACACTACCAGTTACGCACATGGGTACGTAAATTGGCACTTGAAGTCATTGTACGTGTATCAACAACCACTTACACGCGCAACAGGCGTTATATCTGGACAAAGTCCAACGCATTCTTACAACACTTCTCTTTAACTTCACTTCTTGTTGTTTGTTTGTCTGCCACAAATCTTATAATCAATATTTAACACACTTCTACCTGTCCAATCGATCTGAAATTTTGCCCACTTGCGTAAAGTTAGACAATGCATGAATCAATTGACAGAATAAATTATTTTGCAAATATTTTTTAATTAAAAGAAATAATAAATTAATTTTTTTAATGTTTGATAATAAAATTAGAAATTCATTGTACATGTGTAGCATCGGAGACACTGGATTCTTTAGAAGTGTTGTCTTTAAAAAACAATTTTTAAACGCTTTT